AATAGTAATCTTTTCAAAGTCCTGAGACTCCCCCAACATACATTACAAGAGGGTCAAGTCGTAAGTCCCAAGTGAGAAACAGGAAGCAATAAGTAATGTTAAATCTTCTATAAATGCCAAAAAGTAAATCCTATAAGCCTCGAGAAAGTTCAGTAATGATACAAATATAAAGTACGATTATTAAAGTCATTGGCAAAAACTAATGCAACTTAATTAACCAATAACGTAATGTTATACTACACACGGAACTGTTATATGTCTCGTATTATCTATACGTAATAAAAGTTCGAATGTTAAAGTAATGGAAGAAATCCACTAAAGCGATTTATTTGTCACTCACAGAGTGAAATTAAATGTAGAATGTTCTGAACAGTTCACGATACTCTACAAAAATTTTAAACTCATTACTAGTCTGTCCAAGTACTCTTGTAATCTGTTGTAACATACAATAACTGTACTTAGAAAGTTAATTACTACAAAATTGAAACTGTCCGTTTAATTGAAAACTTTCAACTTGAATGTTTGATTAATGATGCTCTTGTCTAAATCTAGGTTTGTTTTTCCAGAGTGGGCTCTGGTGGACAAATTTGTTAGGCTGTATTTCAAGGAAACCTTTATTACAGTCTTACACCGACCGATGTGCAATCCTTTATTAACAGGCTACTATTAGTGTAATATAGGAGTAAGATAAGTAATCGATGAGTAAGTTAATTCCAGAATTACAGACGACACCTTTTACTAAACTATTTATGCATCAATAACTTCTTGGTTACAGAATCCCCTAAAACAAGTTAATAACACAAAATATAAACAAATACAGCGTCAACATTACAGTTAACTACATTAATAACGACTGCAGTTTTCTTGTGTTGCAAACATAATGAGAGTTATTTTACCCAATTCTTTGTCAGATCTATACATTGAGTGTTGTAATACACACACACATACATACATACACACAAAACAAGAACATAAAACAATTACTCAACAAGTAGGCCTTACCGGTAGTGAACGGTACGAAACAGAGTAATTTTAGGGTTAAACGTATACTGAAAAACAAACAAATATAAAAAAATTAACACATGAGTCATGCAGAAATTCCTGAAAAACGAGTCCCAGAAAAACCATTCTAAAAAACGTAACGCATATATAGAAACAATAATAAAAGCTTTACGTATTCTCTTTCTACTAGTGGAGTTTGTAAAAGACTTCCATATTCTGATCGGGAAGGAGAAGGTAATAACTTTTCACACGGTCTTCACCGCTTTCCCATGAAAACCGATTCTAATTTCTAAGTTGCAGTCACAATACAGGCTGATGTTTTTAGTTAGGCAAAATGGACAGACGCCTAGGACAACAAAAGAGAGAGGATTACAAAATAAAAAGTTTATCGACGAATTTATTTGCAAAGATCGTGATTATATCATTTCTATTTATATATTTCTTCTAATTAATTAAGCACCCGAGTACTCAATGGGAAATAGTTCTCTTTTTTTTCATTACTTTCACGAACTTTCAAAACGTGTAACTTGACATTTCTGTACTCTGAGGTAAATTGGAAAGACGCTAGTTCGTCAAACAAGTTTTATTAGGAAACAGGTACAGTAAAAATGTTTATAAATTTAATTTATTAGCCTTTATTGTAAAAAGATAAAATGAGTTAATGATAAAAAGTAGGTGATACTAAACATAAGAACGATTACTAAACCAATAATACTGACATCATATCAGCATTAGTTTCCTATTACTAAACAATTTATTTGTTCCTGTTGTTGTTGAAACTACAAGACATTTAAATTAGTTTACATGACTTTTTCGGCATTGTAACTGGTGACAGGGAAGTGTGAAGTGTTTTTATATAAGACGTGTTTTTCGAATAAGCTGTTTTGGCCAGTGATTAGTGTGTTGGACTATGCATTTGATAATCCAATGTTCGTGTCCCGTCGCCGCGAAAAATACAAATAGGATTCCGCACGTTGGGTTCTTTAGAAGGTTGACGGTTAATTCCCAATATTCGATTAGAGAAACCCAAAGAGTTGGCGGTATGTGCTGTTAACTCGTTGCTTTCCATATATAGTCTATCAGTTAAAAATTAGCAATGTCTATTTTAAAGAGCCCTCGCATTACATTGCGCGAATTTCCAAACTAAATGTATTTGTTATCACTATATAATCACCACTTTTTCTGTGTGTTTCAGGACAAATTCCCAGACGAGCAGACGCACCACAACACGTGTCAATGTCACCATACACATCTTTAAGCCCGTTCATTTGATAGCCAGGTTACTTCCCAGACGTAGACTACGTTCATTGTAGAAAATTAGTACTTCGCTCTTAATCGGCTAGTATTACTGAAAAACCAAGTTCCTCCACGTGCTCAACTGGATTTAAGGATGTGGCGCCATCTGAAGTCTCTATTCTATCGCGTCTTATAGTTTCACTGCTCTGCTAGCTTCCGCGTTAGTTGGTACTTGTGCTTTTTTCTAAGAGCAAGTTCCATATTGTTCCTGACAGTATCTGCGATGGTTACACAACGTACACTGTTAGTCTTAAAAACGTATGTTTTAAACTGTGATATTAGAAACAATGTTTTAAACTGTGACATTAGAAACAATGTTTTAAACTGTGACATTAGAAACAATGTTTTAAACTGTGACATTAGAAACAATGTTTTAAACTGTGATATTAGAAACAATGTTTTGAACTGTGATATTAGAAACAATGTTTTGAA